TTGTTTCACCATTTGATCAGATTGCATTATTACATAAACATAACCTTTTGGCTGATTTATGTTAGTTGAGGTGCCAGGCCATTCAATTTTAATAGATCCAAATTGACTAAAAGCTATAGTTAATCCATCTTCAGTTATGTCCCATGGTACACCTCCCAAAAATACTTTGCATGAATAATTTGGAGAACTATGAATAATTTTAGGAAGTTGACCACTCCAAGTAAATACTGGATCTTTATGTAAGCCACCTAGAACAAAAAAAAATGTGTATGAAAAAATTTGTTAGTAAAAAATTATAAATTTATTAATTCAAAATTTTCATCTAAACCAATGTTTTCTAATTTAAGGGGGGGGGGGGGGGGGGGTAAACACAATAATTTACTATTATTCATATTTTATAATTACTACAATCAATAAAAAAGTAGAAATTACTAGTATTGAATATTTTTTGTTAAGTAGGTACATAAAAAAGGTGATATTTTTTCTTCAATTTTAGGAGAGGAGAGATTTTTGAAAATCTACTAAGGGGCATATAGGATAGAAGAGGTTGGGAACCACCGATTCGTTTAAATACATGTATAGGTATAGTTTTTCATAATATTCATAATATATACAGTAAAAAAATCTATGAACTAGTAATATAATACATTGACTTAAACACCTATGGACTTATGTATTAGAGCAAATGATATAATACTCACTGTAAACATTGCGATTAAAAGTTCGATTCTCAACTTGGTTATTATTGCTATCACTCTTTGGTCTTGTAGGTGACCAGAAAGGAGGAGGAGATCTCTTCTCATAAACCGGAGACTGACCAGCAGCCGGCGAACCATATCGGGTGGGATATTGACTTTGACTAGCCAATAACGTACTTAGTAAATTCTGAGTTTGATGATGTATATTTTCACCAGCAGACAATCTCCCACTCGATATACGTTGCATATTAGCTAAGTCTTGTTCAGTCAATGGAGACGAACCATAAGGATTAATATTAACTTGATTCTAAAAATAGAATAAATATTTTAAATATAAATTTAAGTAGTTTGTAAAAAACATATATAAGCATACTATTAAATCAGCTACAGCTTCCGGACTGTTAGATATGTCCGAATCATCAGGAGTGTTAGATCTGGACCCAACCATAAGATGCGAAATAAGAGGATCGCTACCATCACTGAATGTAGGCGAAATACGATATTGTTGTTGCGGAATCTGATAACCACCATAAGAAGCAAACGATAGATCCAATTTGGGTCGTCGTAGATTTTTACGTCCGACGTCACAGACATCTTCAGATGGACTTACACTTCCAAAGTCTGTCATATTTGTTACACTTCGATCTGTAAGATATGGCAAATGAAGCGAGTTGCGTCTTATATTTGCCAACTGCTCCTTAAAAAAAAAAAAAAATACCAATTCGCGATTTAAATTAATTATTTAAAATTCAATAGACAATAATTAACAGAAAAAAAAAAAAAAAAACAATCAACTGTATACGTAAAATGAATTAAACATAGCAACGATTATTAATAAAATTAATGTCAGAGAGTTTAATGATATTGCCCTAGCCATAGATGTGAAATTATTGTATGTTAAAATAAAATAAAACAAAAAATAATTAACTCACTTGAGCTGTATATTGCCGTGTTGAATAATTAGGAACAGATTGTCGACCAATCATTGAACTTCGCAGTTTATTTATAGAAAAATACTCAGAGTTCAACGAGTCACCTATAAAAATGCAAAATGTGAAATTTGAAAAAAATATATAAATAGGTACTAACCAGAATTTCTTGTGGGACTTAGGCTTTGTTCAGGTGAAGAAAAGAAACTATTGTAGTCTCTAGTGCTCCTATCTTGACCCACGGAAGGAGAAGTAATTTCCGGCACGTCTTGGTTTTGAAAAATTGATCCCTAGAAATATTAATTTAAAAGTTAAAATTAGTTGTGAAAGAAAATAAATTTAATATTAACTAATAGATTTAAAAAGTTTTTATTAATTAAAAATAATATATTATATAGATGATTGAAAATATAATTAATAAAAATTAATTACTTACTCTTCTGAATGTAGACATGTTTGTAAGTTGAAAAGTTGAATAATAAATTGGAATTTAGAGAATTAAGAATGGATATGGAATAAAGGAGATGAAAATAAAACCTAATTACGAATAATTAAAAACTGCGGGCCTTAAAAGTAATAAGACCGACTCGACACTCGGCGACGAACTAACTTCAATTTCTCACGGGTTTGGTCTATTCGAACTAGAAAGTTACTGCGCAATGTCCATGCGCAGAAATTTGGGCGGCGGTCTCTGATTGGTTTACAACATTTCGTGTCAACCAATAAAAACGTATTTCGGAATACAATACACCTCTTTAATCTTTTTCTAGGATCATACTATACATCTTTTCGAAATTCCACGTACCTATTTAATTTTCTATGTATATTTTATTTTTAGAAATTTATAATTTTTTCATGTGGTAAGTACAAAATAATAAAAACTAATAAATAAAAAACGCCGTAAATAATCTAACCTAACCTGTATACTATGTACTGGACATTATTTACCTATTTAATATATTATGGGCGAATTTATAATGTATTTGCACTGTGGACTGTGGCATCTTGTATATTTGATTAAAAATTGTGATTGAAATAATAACCGCAAACAATAATATATTGTGGTGATCATCAGAGCAATTCAACCTACTTTTACACTTTTGGTCATTTATTTTAAGAATGGAAGTTAGTGTGACTATATATTTGAATTTATGGGTATATTAGGTATAGGTATACATTATAATTCATTAAGTACATAATATATACTTGCATTACTTATAAATAATACAAATTTTAAAATTATTATAGTTATTATGATTGGTAGGTATACCATAAATATCAATGAGATATTAACAAAAGTTGTATAAGAGAGTAAAAGCTCTCCCAAGTTCCAAGTATATTTTACCGACTTCTAATATAAACGAAAATAATTCTTTTATTTTACTTACGTAATCATACAACTTTAATTTATTTCTATGTATAGGCTATATAGATGACGGTAAAATATCTTTGATACTTTTCCCACTATAGGATTAGTATATAGTTAGTATAGTTACCACATAAACTAAAAAGAAAATTTTACCAAGCATTGCATTAACTGTTATAATTGGTATAATTATTACAATTTTTCATATATGTAAGGAGCTTAAGTAATAAATACCTGGCATTCAAATAATTTAGATTTAATAAATAACAAAAGCGGAGCTTGATAAACTTATTTGAAGGATCCGAAGTCTTATTGTAAGTTCTGTTTCTTCATATTATAAACTTTATTATTAAAATAAACTTATTAATTATTACAGAAAAAAAAAAAAATTAGAATTAACAGAAAACGCTTGACCCGCTGTTATTTTCATTATTTCACAAACGTATAATATGGCAAATTTGCTTTCAATAGAACCAATTTTGTGTTGTTAGCTTTAATATTAAAGTGAGACATGAGTTAAATTACTTTATATTATTTAATTTAAAGATAAAAATATTATCCTTTTTTAAGTTTTACAGGTTTGTGTTGATATTTCAATTTTTAAGCTAGATTTAATTTTTTTTTTCAATTTTTACAATAGTATTATATTTTGCTTAACAACTAACACATGAAAAAAAAAGTCAATGCTTAAGCTTATATAATTTTCTTTCTTTTAGCTTTGATGAAAGGACAAATCGCTTAAATCACTTTAATATTAAAACTAATAATTATAAAAAATTGGTTCTACTGAACGAAAATTTTCTGTATTATATTTGTATACATTTGTAAGACGATAACAACACATGTGGGTTAGCGTCCTCTTGGTTGTTTATAAATTTTCACCTAAATATATGTTTATGTCTACCTACAGGTTAAAATTGATAATTAAGTAATATACCTATACGTTTATTTTATAAAAATCTATGCGTGTTAAGGTGGAGGCCAGTTTTATAATTAATAGATCACTAAAGTTTATGTATAGTTTCCGATATAGTCTTGACCTTTCCTATATATAGCTTCGCCACATCTAATTCATTGATATTAATTTTTTATGTGTTATTAAGTAAACATATGTAAATAATACTTACCTATATTATATATTATATTGTAATATTATATATACGAGCTGTATACCTATACATATAATTTATGGATAAGCAGATACCTACTTGCGATACAGACGTACAGTAGGTATAGTACTTAAAACTTAACTATATTTAAATTATGAAAATATTTGGAGTAATGGCTACAAATTTATGTAATCGATGCATCATTTTTATAACATAATGTTATAATGACATATTATGTAGGTATAGGTACGTAGGTACTTGAAGTGTCTATAGAAATAATAATATTTATATACCTAATCAAACCTAACATGGGTAAATAGATTTTTTAATCTTTGTATTTCATAAATACTAAAATACTGTATTAGATATAGGTATGTGGTTATATGGATAATGCTGATCTTTACATTATTGACGAATAAATTTAATAATTAATTATAAAATTCTTTATTTATAGGTATATGCATCTATTAACTTAAAACAACATTTTTATGTCATTTGACAAACATGACTATTAAATAATACGAGTACCTACTATAAATTATGAATAATTAATTATCAGAATTCTGTTTTAAGGATGATTTTTTAAAAATAAACATGATTCCCAGTTAATTTGTTTTTAAAAAAAATAGTACCTAACTAATAACGATTGGGTACTTTACTACTTCACTCATCTAAGATTAATGATCAACAACACATATAATTAATACATATATTAATATATTATTACGTTTCGATTTACGGCAATTTAAATATGCAATTTTTATACATGAAAATACATGAAAATAAAAAAATGTATGAAAGAGTTAATACAGTAATATGTTGTTTATTTAAACCAAATAGGTAAAATGGTCACACTGACAATATATATTTTGATAATATTATCAGTATTATTATTTCATTTTACACTTGAGTACCACTCCCCGCCAATCATGGAAAATGGACCAGTTTCTTGTATACCAACAACCCCAAAAATGTCGAAAGCGAAGAAAGTGATCGAAGAAGCACTGGAAAATCAAAATCCAGAGTTGGATTTAGCAGATAAAGGGGTAGTCTCTTTTGAGGAGATGCCAGGACTCAGTAAGTGTACTAAATTTAAACATTTCCTTTTAAGGAAACTTGTTTCTTATTTACTAACACCTTATATGGACATCTCTATCATTCACTACGAAGTCACCCATTTAATAATGCATTTTATTTACTTAAAGGTGTACCAAAAGGTCTTTATTTCTATTTGTAATTAACCAAAATTTAATATATCAAAAATAATTTGTTAGATGGATAAATATGTATATATTTCATAATTGTTTTCCATACAGTATAGAATTTATTGATAAGAGGGACTAGTTCAACCATAATACCTTAATTGTTGAATTTTTGAAAAGAATTTAATTTATAATTTTTGTTATTGTTATATTGTTACATAAATAAGCTCATAATTTGTTTAGATTGCATTTATAAATGAACTATAATTTTAACTATATAGAGCAGCGGTTCCCAAACTTTTTTTTCCGCGATACCCTTTTAGGAGCACCAAGTTAGCCATTATTCTCTGCTGTATGTAACATGAAAGATTGAACAAAAAAAGTACTCATTGAGAACCTATAAAACGTAAACCGCGGTGTACAGTTTGGGAACCGCTGATATAGAATATTTTTATTATTCATTCATTTACCTAATTGCTTTTTGAATTTTAATGTATTTAAATGTTAAAAGACGTATGCCTATTTTAGCCAAGCTGTTGAGATGACTAGAGTCTAGAAACATCATAATTATACAATTATTTATAAATATTTAAGTTTTAAATTAACATTTTAAACATATGTTTGATTTAGTTATAGTAAAATAAATAATAAAACCTAAAAAGTTATTGGTTATATTTTAATGATATAAATGTATTAAGTTTGAACTATTACAAATATTTTCTTGTAGACTAAAGTATATTTAATTAGTACAATATTTATCTACATCTGAGGCTCTACGAGAGTTATTGTTTATATAATTCAAAAAAATATGTATCATACACATTTTGAATTGTGAATACAAAAAAAAAAATTGTAAATAAATATTCAGATTATTTTCTTTACAAAAACATCAATAATATTATAAATATTGAAAAAATGCCATTGGGAATAATCTATTTGATCCTTTTTCTTGCTTTGGCCTTATTATGATTTAGTTCAAATATCATAATAATAAACAATAATTAAAATATTAAAAAAAAAACTTTACAAGTAGTTACAGTAAAAACATTACTGTGGTAAGAGTAAGCAGTGTTTTTTTTAAATAAATTATTTTTGTTATTTATTTTATTTGTATATTTGTTATATCATTATTATTTTTTGATTTCAGTTGATATGCATAATATTACTCGTATCACATTAAGTCACAATAAAATCCAAAGTACGTATTAATTTACTTAATGGAAGCTGCTGTCTAAGACTTTCCCTTAAAGTCTGTTAAATTTATTTTACTATCACTATCACCATAACTATTGATTTTAGAATATATTATTAGTATGTAAAATATGTTCTAAAATCAATTCCATAACTAAACAGTATACAAACATTTTATTTTATAAACTTTGATACTAAAATTAGTAATAGACATTAGTAAAATATTTGCGTTGACTGTTTACAGCTAATACACAGAAGAATATTATGTATGAAAATTATTGTTAATTATTGTTATAAAATGTTAACATAAAATATTATTTTAAATTCTCGAGTATTAATTTCCAGAAGTGCCTCCTGGGATTGCAAATTTAACACAATTAGAAATGTTAAATTTATTTAACAATCATATTGAAGAATTACCAGTTTCTCTTTCATCAATGCCAAAATTGCGTATTTTAAATGTTGGGTAAGTTTAAATAATTTATCAACAATAAAACTTAAAATTAAAACATGATTTAATAGATTTATTAACTATTTTTTTTTCTAGAATGAATCGTTTGGATTCATTACCACGAGGTTTTGGAGCTTTTGCAGTTCTTGAAGTATTAGATTTAACATATAATAATTTAAATGAATCCAGTTTACCAGGCAATTTCTTTATGTTGGGTAATTATATTTTAGTAAATTTATACTAATTCTTAATTTAAAAAGTAATATTTTAATTATTTTAGAAACCTTACGTGCATTATACTTGGGTGATAATGATTTTGAGACTATACCACCTGAAATAGGACAGTTAAAAAATCTTCAGATTGTAAGTTTAATACATTTGACATGTTATTATTAGCATTCTAAAAATTTTTTAAGAAATAATTTTGATAACAAATTATGTTTATAACTATAAAAATATCCGGTTATATATTGTTAACAATTTAAATATTTAAATTACATAACTTTTTTTTTTTATAGTTGGTTTTACGAGAAAATGATTTAATTGATATACCAAAAGAGATTGGTTATTTACCCAGATTACGTGAGTTACACATTCAAGCTAATCGACTGACAGTATTGCCTCCAGAATTGGGAAATTTAGATCTATTTGGAAATAAATCTGTATTAAGAATGGAGTTTAATCCTTGGGTTGCTCCAATTGCAGATCAACTTCAAGTTGGCGTATCTCATGTAATTGATTATATTAGATCGGAAACATACAGATAGTAAGTATTTAAAAATTTTATGGGAATAAATCACCAAAAATTAACCAAGACTTAAAAAACTAAAATTATATTAATGATATTAAAATATTAATTCAACAATAAAATTAATTAATTAATTATGTGGGTATGCGCATAAAACTATGATATAATTTGAGGGTTGATTGTAACACCATTCAATAATTTTTATATTATTAATCATTTTATTTTAAGATGGTCTTGGTTATTTTTTTTAGAGTTTTCCAGGAATTTATTTCAAGTATATTTTTTACTTAATAATTGGTAATAAAATATAGTTAATAACTCATTATTTACACCATATAAATTATAGTAATATTTAATTTTTTTTCAGTCTTTACAATCGTCATATTGCTGCTAGGGGTCCACCTCCGCCAAAACTTAATGATAAAACACGTAAGATTTCAAGAAACCGTCAATATAGCTAACTTATTTTGTAAATTGAAATGATCAAAATTAACTTAAAACGTAACTGGCATTTAATATCCGAAATCACAAAACAATCACCCCTCCATAAGTAATTATAGCCTATAGAATTATAAGAACTATGTGCTTAATATCATTTAAGTAAAAGTGTCTTAACACACCAATATTAAAATGTAATTCTCGCAAAATTCATTTATTTTATTTATGTCATTCAATTTTGTAATGTAAATTGTTTTGGTCATAACCAGCTATGAATACATGACTACACTGTCTATATAATATGGGACTGAGTTAAATATTTCGGAGCTTGTTCTTAACATATCTAATCAATAATCGATATTTGTTTTCAGTCTTTAACTAACTAAAGTTTTTATCTACATATTATATATTTTTTAATATAAATTTAATATTGTAGGAAGATAGTATTAATTATTTTAACAAAAAAAGTCATTTATTTATACATTTATTCTTACATATTTTTTTTAAGGTTTTTCATATTGTTATTACATTCTTTTATATAATTTATTTTTAGAATTTAACTATGTTAATTTTAATTTCTAACGTTGTACAATTCGTGTTATTATTATTATTATTTTGAAATAAAATAGTACACGTTTATACAGATACGTATGTGCTTTGTTCACGTCATGGTACTGTGACATTATAGGTATAGCAAATTATGATTAGGTGGTATTTATTTTATTTTTTTTTTCGTCTCGATTGTAATTTATCGATACGGTTAAAAATGAAAAGAAACTAATGTAAACCACAGTTACACGTATTTGGGAAGTTGTAACCGATCATCGTTATCGCGTAGACATCCACAGTGCTTGGAAAGCCGTCTCGCGACGAAAATTCCACGAACCGCCTTGTGGGCTGGCTGCGGCAGCCGCTACGTCATGTAGTATTCCTTCCGGCACGTGCCCGAAAACGCGAACACAAATAGAGCACTTCTGGAAAACTCCGAACAATGTCTGCGAATTTCCCGTCTTCGACGGCCTCGAGGCTGGCACACGTGGCGGCGGCCCTTTTGTTGTCGTCGACACGTGCACATCTGGCCTGACGGGTTTTCTCGAACCGGTCCCGTTCACAAGACCGATTCCATCGCGATAATCATTGTGGGCGATCAAATGGTAATATCTTACATTATTCCATGTATCTACGAAATCGCGTTTGCCACGCGCTCGTGGTTTCTGCGAAGGGTTAGTTGTTACGCGGTGTTGACCGGGGTGGAGGATCAGTGTCTCTTTGCAGAATTATAGTACTACCCTATGGCCTATGATAATATAACACACATAGATAGGTATGTCTCAACTATTTGCATACTGCCGACACGACGTGTCCTCGGAATTTCTGCTTTTACCTATATATATATTATAATATGCGGGCGAGTACGAATTCGCAATTGTGGCTGCATCCGAGTACTGTCAAAATAACACTAGTGGGAAGCAACGAAAAATGATAAGTGATCGATTTTGCTGAATTCCACGATAATCGTGTACTTGGTGAAATATTTTATTGTGACAATGTGCATTATTGTCATAACGGGCATGACGTCATTACCCGTGTATTATGCTGTTGACGGACACATATTATTTTAACCGTTTGTATTATTGAAATTAACGATTTATGCATATTATTGTTTTGTTAAACATATTAATTAATTAATCAATTACTATTTATTATATATTTTATGATATCGATATGAATAAATTTTTAAATACCAAAGTATTTTTCTACTCACAATTTTGGTTATTTTTTGTTGTTTACCCAAGAAAACTTTTAAATAGTTTAATAGTGTTATTTTACGATGAAAGAAAATGGGTTGATTAATTTTTTTTTTAAATTCTAAACATGTAAAAATGCATGACTTAAATTATCAACAATATTTAGCTCTATAATAGCTATTATAATAATTGATAATTAGGTAACTTAAAATAACCTATTACAGGTTATTTAGAGAAATACAAATATATTTAGGCACTTAAAAGAAAACAAATTGAGTTTTTACATCGTACTATATTTAAAAAATAATAAACGTTATATTATAATTATAATGGAAACCCAAACCGATTTTGATAACAATAATAATAATGGTTTAAAATCATAATGATAATAAAAGCTAATTAAAAAATCAAAAAAAAAAAAAAAATCACAATTATCTAATAATTAGAAGACGCGTTATTGTGCGAAATATATGGCATTGTAATCTAATATATTCGTATATAAACTACTGATTACACCTGTACATATCTTTTAGATTTCAACCATTTAAGTTTTTTCTTATTTACTATAGGTACATAATTTTTAAATATTGTTATGTATGACGATTACAATTATAACAAGTTAAATCTGTTATACTTATTGTTTTATTTTTTGTAACATCATTTGTTCAAAACGTTCAATCCGTATCTAAAAATCATGATAATATGTCCCAACTAATAAATAATAAAATTATTGAATTGCCGCATAAAAGTAATTTTCTTTAATATCAATAAAATCAAAAAAGTAAATAATTAATTTTTTCTTATAGTCTACTGAAAGCTTTACAACACTCGTATAATTTAATATTGGAAAGTCAAGTCATGAGCTTGATTTAGTAATAAGTCTAGTTGGCCCTCAAATTATGTTACAATTATATTAGTGCGATATTGACTAGATAATATTATTAATAATACTACTAATTACTATAGTCATCAGAAAAAGTTAGGTAAAAACTACACTTGTAATCGTCGAGGGGAAAGACGTTGGCCGTATATCTAATTTATTTTATCAAATGTTATGGTTATGTACTATGTAGTTTTTAATAACATATAGGTATTATATTATTATGGTACTATCAAAAACACTTGTGTTATTAAATAAAGTGTTAATTTTTAAACAGTGATTTTACAACTCAAGATACATATTATCTAGTTTTTTAGCGCCTCCACACGTTCACACCATTCTTTATTTAAGGTCTTACGAATAGTTACGTCTATACTCCGTTTATTTTTCTAGGATCAAAATAAGTATCTATACAAGGGATAACAATAATTAATTTACAACTGAGTACCTATACGCAGTACGCTCAGCATTAAAATAAACTGATTAAACCATTTTTTAAATAATATAACTGATCGAATCCCCCTCTTCCTCTAAAAAATATACTATTACTTTTAGGTGACTGGGCGTTATTCTAATAATGTGATAATGGTAAAATTATTTAAATATTATTCAATATTTATAAGTTATAACTATATAATTAAACTTATCGAAATTCGATAACTCATTAATACACGTGACTTGTATTAAATGTATACATAATATGATCTGACAGGTGTGTAATATTATACGCATTCGGTACATAAGTATTAATTATTATTAACGTAATTATTTGCGTTTTTGAACTAAAGTATTTCTACAAATCATTAATAATATAAAGAAATGAAGGCATGAAGCTTATGCTTGATTGAATTGCATAATAATATAGATACTGCTGTTATATAGTTTGTAACAAGAACCATGGCGCCCATTGAGGGGGGGGGGGAAGACAGGGCACTCCCCCCCCCCCCCCCCCCCTGGAAAAAAATATTACCACAATATTACCTTATTACCAAGGTAAATTATTTGTTGAAATCATTTTTAAGATATGAAATAAATATAAAAATATACTCATTGTTATTGTATATTAACATCATAGATAGGTCGTATTCTGTAGTCCGTATAACCTACACGTAAAATTATTTATCGCAGATAATTTGTGGTAAATCTATAAAGATCACAATATAGGTACTACCATTAATTATAGAATATTCTATAATATATTATTATAATATATTATTCTATATTCTATAATCAATGGTACTATAAATATTTTAACCTAACGCAAACAAGGATACTTTCATTCAGGATGTCATTAATATGTTTGGAATAAAACGAAGAAATTTGCAGTTCTTATTTACTGATACCGAATAATATACTTATTAAAATTATTATTTATTTATTTATTTATTTATTCGTATGGCAATTATTATTTATTAATTTATTTATTCATATGGCAATTATTATATATTTATTTATTTATTTATTCGTATGGCAATTATTATTAATACACTATATATATGTATATACAAATAAAAATATAACATGCATGTATAGTGTATACATTTATATGTGAAAAATAACATTAAATATTTATTATCTTACATTCGAAAATGTTTTTATTTTGACCCCCCCCCTAAAATATTACCTATGGGCTGGGCGCCCATGACAAGAACCTACATTTTTCAAATAGATTAAGTTTAGGTAGTTAAGATAAAATAATTGTATTTCTTGATCCATAATAGGATTATATTAAATTATTCTCTTTTTAGTGAATAACGTGTATTTGAAACAAAATATGAATAAATAATAATAAAGTATATTATATAGGTTATTAATGAAAAAACTCGTTTAAAATAAAATTGCTTGTGAACAATTATGTAAAACAAAATGAAAATAAGTGAATTGTTTAGCTATAAAGATTATTATTCGGTAAAAGCTAATGAAAAAAAAAAGTACAAAAAATTTTTAAGGATGATATTTTTTGTCTAATAGACTAAAAACCATTTATATATATATTATATTATTGTAGGAACCTACTACAGTGTTTTTTAATTTTATGGATAATATCTGATTTTTGTGGTTGAGCTATAATGAATATTGTAACTATTTTTATTTTTAAAAGATTTACTAAATAAGTAGATAAAACGCATGATAAAAATAATATTTCACTCCCAAGTATTTTTGTCATGGCTCATGGGTAAACCGATATGGAATTACCTAAGAACTATTAAAGTTCAAAAATATATTGGTAAAATGTTCTAATATATGGTTGCTATAATATAAGTATATACAATATACATATTATAGACTTCCAGAAGTAAAAGCTTATGTTCTACAAGCCCATTATAGGTAAATGACACGTTAAATAATGTTTAAATGAAATCAGAATGAGTTTATTATTTAAGGCAGAGGTTCCCAAACTGTGGGTCGCGCTATTTTTTTAAATAATACAAAAATATAAATAAAATAGTTTAATTTTCTGTTGTATGGTAAAAAAAAAAAAGGTCATTCATTGATATTGTGGGTCGTCATATTTTAAAATATTTTCAAAATGGGTCGTATAATAAAAAGTTTGGGAACCTCTAATTTAAGGTCATTTACTAATTTTTTTTTTAAAGAAAAAATGAAAGCATCCGATTCCTATATAAACTACTCGTACTTACCTAAAATATCTTTTTTATTTATAATAATAATTAAATAATAACTTAGGTACTGTATATGATTCTAATGATAGATATATTTTACCTTATATTTTATATTATATTTTAATATTAAACTAATAACATTCATCAATCATTATTCAGTAAGTTCAGTAAATAATATATTAATATCTTTCAGAAAATATTAAATGAAATAATTTTTATTACCTAGTGGCTAGTACCAGTAGTTCTTATCTAACAATGTTTTTTTTTTCCAAAAATCGCGTACTGATGTTATACATCCATTTTTAATTAGGTAAGTATCTTATTATTTTTCACAAGACACGCAAAATCCACATTCATCTTATAAATTCCAACTAAGACATATTTGTATAATTTTATGTCTGTTTATATTATATTAACTGAAATATAACACTATGACATGAATAGATTACTTTACCTATTAGGTATTGTACTTGTGTTATTATTTATCAATAGGTATACACTATACATATTAAAAGCTATATCTGTACGCATAAGCGCAATTAGGAGTGAGCTTAACCCCTCAAATATACTAATAGCTCCCTCAAAGTAAATAATGCTTTATATGGGTTACTTTCGGTATTATATTAAGGTGGGTCTGTAGCCCCCTAGGATACTGTGCTAGTTGCGCCATTACCTGTACGTAATAAATAAGTAGTGAGCTCGAATTTGTTCAAGTTTAACAAACACTGAATACGATTGCTCTTTCATTTTTAAAATCACTTTGTATGAAATTTTACAGTTGGAAGACTTGTTTGTATTGCGTTAAAAATATTACTACAAGAATAGTAAATAGGTAGGTACACAAAAATCGGTGCACTTAAAAATATGTAACGTGGTATGTTAAGGCACTTACATGAGTAAATAGTGCGTGCGCGTGTGCTTACCTTTAAATGTTGTGTTTATAATATAATATTACGTAAATATCAATACATAATAGATAACTATTACTATGCAGGTAAGTATTTTTCGTCGTAATTCGAAATTTTCAATTCTTAATCCTTTGTTTGAATTTAGATTAGGTATTCTTGGGATGGTGAACGAAAGTTTTGCGAAGGTTTTGCTCATAAGTCATGTCAAATAAAAGCTGTACGTAAATGCGGGTATAATGACATTAAATTATAAATGTCATAGGATATGCCTTTTTATATTATAATGTGCGATTCTCTCAATTCCTTTAAACAGTGTAAACGCGACAGCATCTGTTTCTGGGAGCCGGAGAGATATGCTCAGCTTAATACAATTATATTATACACTGTGCCTGTCATGTAAATTTCCAGAAATAAACCGTTGATGTACATGTGTTTATTATATTATCTGTATTGTGTACGGTATATTATTAAATAACAAATTAAACATGGTTTTCTAAGATATCGTCATTCTAGTATTGTTCAAATGAAAATGATGATTCATTAAGAAAATTATATAATAAACCTACACACACACATATATATATATATATATGTATATCAAGCAAATAACAGGTAAATATCTATTTAATTATTTAATTATACATTTATAAGTAATTTTGTTAAATTTCCACCGGTGCAATTTTATGAATGATCGTTCATTGATGTGATATACTAAAATGTATTTGGAGGATTTATAATAATTATACGTAGTTTTTAAAAAGCATTCATAATTTTGGGATTGTCGATTGAATACAAATTATTTACTCATATTGTCATTTGTCACGGGATTTACTAATGATAGGTAATTGATGTCCCAAAGTATAACACAAATTCATTAAAAAACTGTACTAAAAAATATTATATATAAAGATCTGGGAAATTCCAAGTTGATGATAAAAGAAATAAGATTAAAACCAAGGAAAAATGTCTTAATTTGAACTTCAAACGTTTAAAACAAAAAAAAAAAATTTTCAATAATTTTAAATTAGTAACTTAATACATCTTATGAGGACTCTTATTTTAAATTTAAATAATGATGATTTAAGTAATATAGTGGAATGTTTCAGCTTTCCATAGTTAATATTGTTTTGAATAATATCAAAATAGCAGAAATTGTTGATATTAAATAGGTTAAGTAATCAAATTATTTATTTAAAAATCCCTTGTATTAGTAGACGAAGAATGATTTTTTGTACTTTTCGATTCTTAACGTAAAAAAGTGAGTTCAGATTTTTCGTCTACAATTAGAATGCAATATGTCAATATATTATGCTATTAACAAAATTGGGAATTTAGCGTAATACTAATAAGTAATAATTTATAAGGAGTGTAAATACTCTCACAGATTTAACACTTAAATCATGATTTAATTATATCCTAAATTTTGATTCTCAAAGTGTAGGTACATCTTAAATTGTGATTTAATTTTTGTTTGATATCACTGATTTTAATAATTAATAATGATAGTAAAATGTGTATTATTAAATACAAAATACAAAGACACAAGAATTAATTGGACAATTATTTTAATTTTTAACCTTGTCATAAAGTATAAAGTATTGTGATTTTGAAATAGACACAATATAAAAGTTTTATACAGTGTTTGTGAATTTTAATTATACATTTTATTTTTGTATAACCTCTTTGCGTTTCAGAAACAGATGTTATTGTTTTATTATCACTGTTATCAGCAAAGACTAGATTTCGTCGCTGAAACATGATTATTGGTTATTGCCATTGACCTTACAGTTAGTAAAACGTGCTCATTTTAGTAACAAAATTTAAGAAGTTCTTTCAAAATTTTAAATTAAGTTTTCTATATAAAATGTCAAAATTGACCAAATTTTTCGTTGGAAATTTGCCGTGGACAGTTAGCAGTCGAGAACTCCGTAAATATTTTGCATCATTCGGCCACGTTGCTTCAGCAGACGTATTGTTCGACCACTCTACTGGTTTATCAAAGGGCTACGGATTTGTTCAGTTTTCTACACCGGGTGGATACGAAAATGTTTTAAACAACAATAAACATGAATTAGACGGACAAACATTGGTTCTCAAGTCAGCAGATTATCAATAATATTGTTGTCTTATAAATAAAATTCCTGTTTTTTTTTTTTTTTTCATTAGACCTATTAGTATATAATATATATTAAGTAATGGATTTTAATTCTAAAAATTTAACTGCTCAGTTTAATAAAGCTGTTTCATTTATTTCTGGATCTAATTTATCTGATGTTGAAATGCAGCTTAAATTGTATGGATTTTATAAGCAAGCATTGGAAGGTCCTTGTACCCTGCCAAAACCTCCGATATATGACTTGAAAAGTCGTAAAAAATGGTATGCCTGGTCTGAAATGGGTGCAATGTCTAAAGAAGAAGCTATGTTATCATACGTTAATTTAGTAACATCTATTAATCCAAATATAGAAACAGAAAAAACTGGATGGATAACAGTTAGTACTTTTGTCAATGATGAAAAACCACTGTCAGAAAATGAAAAAACCATTAGTGATTGGGTTAAAGAGGGAGACTTAAACAAAATAAAGACTTTTATAGGTAACGTAAATGTTAATGATTGTATGGGAATGGCACCAATCCATTGGGCTTCAGATCGTGGAGATTTGGAGATTTTGAAATTTTTAGTGGAAAACCATTCAGCTGATGTTAATTTTCAAGATAATACAGGTCAAACAGCTTTACATTACGCTGTTTCTTGTGGCCATGAAGAAATTTGCAAATATTTGGTTAGTAAGGGTGCAAGAATTAATATTCAAGATGAGGATGGAATTACAGCACTAGAAATGTGTACGGATGAAAAATTAAAACAACTATTATCAATAAATTAAGTCTTATGTTTATACACAATTAATTGTATATAATTGTTATTACAAAATGTTAAAACTAAATTAAAAATAATAATATGTAATAAAAAAAATGTAGCATGTATTGTCTATTTTATAAAATAAAAAACAAACAATTTTAATTATATTTTTAATTTTTTTTTTTATTTTCATTAAATAAATAACAATACATAATAAATAATTTCAAATAATTATAACCTCAATATAAGAATATATAGAATATATATTAATAAAGTTACATATAAATTTATAATAAAACAATTAGTTTAAACATGCAATTTTGGTATAAACCACATCATTTTCTGTTTTTTTGGTATTTTACATTATTACCTATACTTAATATGATTATAATATTAGGTTTCAATGTTTTTTATTTGAAAGTTAAAAATTAAAAAAACATTTACTTGAATAATACAAATATTCACTATTTGTTATGTAAGTTTACAATAGTCAAAAAGCTCAAATGTTATGTTTGAATTGAAAATATGCATTTGTTTACAAATTTAACTAAAAAATAATTTTTCCATTCTTTGTTTGAAAAAAAAAGTTATAAAGATAGGCAAATAGTATATAATTTAAATAAATATAAACATCTACATTGAGTAATACTATATTTATTTGTTATTGTTATGCTAATAAACTTAACAATCAAGTTAATGTTTAAAACTAGTAAAACATTCACAAACAAACTTTTTGTTAACAAAAAAAAATTGTTCTATATTGGCCAGCAATTTAACTTGTATTTGTAAATGTGTAAATTGTAATACTTGATAGGTTGTAATTGAATACATTCAGAATACATCATAATGATAGTATTAAATTATCCGATTAAAATTGTCATAAAATGTTTAGTAGTGTAACTTAAAGGTTGATTTAAATCAGTCGGTAACTGTGTTGTAATGCAGTGTTCTGGTCATTGTTGTTTATTGTTTGTTGTCAGTATAATGTTAGAGTTGTGTAAATTTATTTGGTATACCTATTTAGTATATTTTTTTACAACATAAAAATAAAATACCTTATCTATTAAACCTGTGTATAGTAAAAAGTTAATTATTCTTCAATTAAATATGAAATATGTTTTAGTAAAGTAGCCCTTGTCCAATTATAATAACTAAGTATAAATTTTATTTACTTTACCTAACCACAAAAATGTATTTAAGCATTACAATAATAATAAACCATCCTATTATATATTTTAATTTGGTTATAAAACAAAATATGTACTAAATTATTGGATACCTATAACTTGGGTTGCTTGGGATTTGTTTCATACAACGATGTGAAATAAATTGTCAATTGGTAGGTATTATAGTCACAAGGCAGTGTTGGTTATATTTCAGGGGTCACAATGTTAATTTTGTAAATAATAATAGTAAGTGAATTTTAATATTTTGTTTTTCATAATTTTAATTATCTACCTATTTGATATGTTTTAAGTAATATTTTATTATTAAATAAAAAAGTACAAATTGTGATTGATAATAAAACATGTCATGTAATCACAGTGTTTTTTTTCAATGTAACGTTTGAATCATTCAAGTACTTGGTTTGATGTATTGTAATGTCGTACTTACACACTAGTACAGTTGTACCAATGTATAAAGTATTTTCTTTACCTATCAATGTATTCAATGTTTATAGTTTTACAAGTAATAATAGTATTGTTAGTTTAATTGTTTTATGAAGTTAAATTGTCAAAATTGAAGTTGTAGCTTGTAGGGGTTGTAAGCTTTCCTTGCTGTCAGTTTAAGATGAAAAAAGGATACTCATATGTTGTATCACTAATATATGTCTTTGGTTTTGGACTATGATAACTATTATGTTTAAAAATATTTGAAAACTTAAACAGATGGTTTTGACATAGTTATATAATAAAGGTATAGTCAATAGATTTTGTTAAAGCAAGTGTCAAGTACCTAATATTGTTTGACAGAGCTAAGTATTTGTTTTTTATACTTGTAATGTTTTATCCAAAAACATGTACTTGTAAATGTTTTTTTATTATCGTTAAAGTTTGTTAAAATTTTAAAAAAATTTTTAAGTGTATTATTTCTATCGGTATTTGCTTTATAGTAAGATTATACTGACCAAGGTTACAGGATAGACATATTAATATGTCTATGATTTACGTATAACCGTGTATGTCAAAATAGCAAATATGTAAATATTATTTGAATCAGTTAAGTAGATAGTTAGTATATTATAGTTGCATATTGTATAAATTAAGTAATAAAGTAGTTTCATAATAAATATTATTATCTCATTATCCATAAGTAGTCAAGTTAAGAGTGCTTACCTATTAAAATTAGGTTATAAGTTATAACTAAGTAGATAATAAATTATAAGTAGAATTTTTATGTATGTAGGTACTACATTTCTATGTATATATGCATCTATGTATGTTTTTTTGTTTGTTTGTATGTATGTATACTTATATGTAGGTATTTATAAATTTATATATTAATATAATAATTATAAATTAATATATATGTTCTTATATAGGTATATGCTTGTATGTACATATGTCTGGTTGAATGTAAGTAAAAATGCATCAATGTAACTTTGTACTTTAAAATTATGTATATATTATTGTTGTATGTATGTATGTAGGTATGTATAGATGTAGATATATCTACATAGGTACATCAGTGTATGTACTTTAGTACTTATGTAGTAGTAGTATTATGTTTGTATGTATGTACGTAATGTACGAGTATGTATATATGGTTGTTTGTAGGTTTGAATGTACCTACTTATGTATTTAATAATTATGTGTACGTTAAGCAACAATGTATGTATATTTTTATATATATTATGTTTGTCTATGTATGTTTATTAATATATTCCTGTATGTATGTTAGATAACCTAGTCGTTGTTAATTCTTTATTATTCATTTTATTTTTCAGGTTATTATTTAAACAAAAATATAATAAATAATATTAATTATTTGGTACTTATGTCTTATAGTATTTATAGTATAAAAGTAGTATTTTAAATACCTATTTGTGGTTTGTATTATTTAGTTATCTATATCAAAAATCAATAAGTTTAGTTAATACTTAATAATAAAATGTTTGAAGTTGTACATAATTTATATTGTTTGTAGTTATTGTTAAATGTTAAGTTTAATTTGTAGACTGAAGTAGCCAAGTAGGTACTTGGTTTATGGTACTCGATTAACGTATCTAGTTACTTATTAATCATCTTGATAGATAGGTAGGTAGGAAAGTACATAAAAAAGTGTAAATTTGTTAGTTTTTCAGTTGAGTTAAGTACCTACCTATCTATTAATTGTAAATGTATTTAATAGTCAAGTTATATGTATTGTTTTGTTAGAACTTAATTCCCCTTATTTTTTTGGAGGAATAGTAGTCAATACTAGTAGTACTTATGTGAATTCAATACATTTTGGTAGGTAGTAAATTGGTCATTAAAAAGTTACTGTTATTATTTGTAATTTGTACCTGTATAGCTAAATTTCATTTAATTTCCAGTTAATATAAAAATGTCTGATGTAAGTTTTGTAATATACTACTTTAGGTATATACCTACATATAAAAATCGTATCGTGTTTTTATTGTTAATTTAAATACAAATACTAAATGTAATAATTGTATAATATAATTAAAATATTTGTTTTACATGTATATCCTAATCGTATAGGAAAAAGGCATGGTATAAGTGTTGTAAAGTAGTAAGTATTGTAATAATAAGTACCTATGTCTTATGTCTGTTTAGTCTGTATACCTATATAGAAATTTTATTTTAGTACAAAATACCTAAAACATTTGTTGTATAATTGACAATTGTGTGCATTGTGTAGACTAATATTATAGGTACCAGTTGTATAGGTATTACAAGTTGTAATCTACTTACTTATATTTTAAAACATATACCTAATAGCCAATAGGTAGGTAATTTATAATTATTAAAACTTAAATTATAAATTTAAGGTTATGTTTTAGAGTTGTAAGGTGTAAGTGTAAGTATATTTGTTAAGTTTATTTTATGTTTTACTTTGAGTTGATTGTATTATTAAGAATTAAAGTTTACATTTCTTTAATCCGACTTCGAAGTATGAATACTTAGATAAATTAGATACACGTAAGTGCCTATACCTATATAATAGTAGGTAATAGACTAATTTTTTGTCATATTTCATTAATTACTTATTATTGTTTTGTAACGAAATATAATATGTAAAATATGTTATAATCTTTGTATTTGTTTTAATTTTTAAGTATGGATAATTCGATACTGCCTATTTAGTATTTGTATAAG